AATGCCACTAAATCAAAACAAAAACATGTGTGACAGATTGCCGAAGTTCACAATGGCATAATCGAAATCACAACATAAGCTTTTATTCACACGAAATTCGTGATACGAAGTTTTCGTTCGCGTGAATATAAAAACACATGGGATTGATTTTATTCAAACGAAGTTTGCAATAAGGCTGGTTCACATAATAATGTGAAAGTACTATAAAAAACTAAGTAAAACAAGTAGGGAAGGGCTAAGTTCGGATGTAACCGACCATTTTATACTCACGCAAAGTCAAATGGTATACTCGTTTGAGATTTCTTTGTGGATTGGCTGATATTTTCGGTAGAAGGTCAACTATAGGCACTGGGGTCCACATATTTAGTACTTAGGGGCTTGAACAGTTTTGGTTCGATTTAGGCAATTTTTGGTCACAAGGTGGCATACTTTAAACGTATTATTCACGCAAAGTTTTACCCCGATATAATCATTGTTGCTTGATATGCATAGTGGAAAGTGAAAGATTCAGATGGAATTTAAAATGGTGTTATATGGGAAGTAGGCGTGGTTGTACTCCGATTTCGCCCATTTTCGCACTATAACATAGAAATATGAGAAGAATCTTACGTACCGAATTTGGTTGAAATCGATTAAGCAGATCTCAAGATATGGGTTTTCACCTAAAAGTGGGCTGTGCCACGCCCACTGTCTAATTTTGAACGCGGTTCCTATAAAGTCATCTCATACCATCCCAGAGATATAATTTAATGTCTCTGGCGTGTTTAGTGCTTGATTTATCGCGCTTTTAGTAGTTTTTAACAGTACCGTTATATGGGGAGTGGGCGGAGTTGCCACCCGATTTCAACTATTTTCACACTGTGGGTAGAGGTTCTAAAAAAATTTGCTTCCAGTGAATTTTGTTATTATAACATTATAACATGGCGTTTTGTGGCCGTGGCAGTGGTCCGATTACGCCCATCTGCAATACCAACCGTCTCACGGTACCAAGAAACATGTCTACCAAGTTCAATTTTTACTCAAGTTACAGCTTGCACGGACGGACAGACGGTCACCCGGATTTCAACTCGTCTCTTCATCCTGATCATTTATATATACATAACCCTATATCTAACTCGATTAGTTTTAGGTGCTACAAACAACCGTTAGGTGAACAAAACTATTATACTCTGTAGCAACAGGTTGCGAGAGTATAAAAAGGGATGATACGAATCTAAACTTTATCTTGACATAAGGGATTATAGCAAAGTCGAGGTTAAAAAAGTGGACGTGGACGCGTGCCCTACTGGGACTATATACGTTTTTTTTTACATTATATTGGGAGTACCAACTTATTTTCGATACTTATTAAGTATCTCAATTAATTTTAATATTGTCTGTTAAACGGGACAGATAGACATTACCAAAACCAACGCGCAAAGTTTGCTCGCGAGCGCAACCAGCTCCTCTGCATTCACTGTGGTTGCCCAAACTTCTTGCATCAATTACAAAGCAATATATGAAAATACAGATCATTACGGTGTGTATAACAATGAATGTGGAATCGAATTTTTAACCATGTTTAAAATGAAAATTATTAAAAACTCGTAAGGAAGGGCTAATTTTGTGTTTAACCGAACATTTACACTCTCGCATTTTCCAAAGATCAAAGACTGGGAAATACTTTCACGTGTTGGCAAAACTTTATATTAACAAGTAAGGAAGGGCTAAGTTCGGATGTAACCGAACATTTTATACTCTCGCAAAGTCAAATGGTATACTCGTTTGAGATTTCTTTGTGGGTTGACTGATATTTTCGGTAGAAGGTCAACTATAGGCACTGGGGCCCACATATTTAGTACTTAGAGGCTTGAACAGTTTTGGTTCGATTTAGACAATTTTTGGCCGCAAGGTGGCATACTTTAATTGCATTATTCACGCAAAGTTTTACCCCGATATAATCATTGTTACCTGATTTGCATAGTGGAAAGTGAAAGAATCAGATGGAATTGAAAATGGTGTTACATGAGAAGTAAGCGTGGTTGTAGTCCGATTTCGCCCATTTTCGCACTATGACATAGAAACATGAAAACAACGTTATGCACCGAATTTGGTTGAAATCGGTTGAGCAGATCTCAAGATATGGGGCTTCACCTAAAAGTGGGCTGTGCCACGCCCACTGGCTAATTTTGAACGCGGTTCCTATAAAGTCATCTTATACCATCTCAGAGATAAAATTTAATGTCTCTGGCGTGTTTAGTGCTTGATTTATCACGCTTTTAGTAGTTTTTAACAGTACCGTTATATGGGGAGTGGGGGAAGTTGCCACCCGATTTCAACTATTTCCACACCGTCAATAGAAGTGCTAAAAGCATTTGCTTCTAGTGAATTTTGTTATTATAGCATTAGCGGTTTAGGAGATATGCACATTAAACCTATTAGAGGCGGGACCACGCCTACTTTTTAAAAAAAGTTTAACTGCAGATGCCCCTCCCTAATGTGATCCTGTGTACCAAATAACAGTCTTGTATCTTATTGCGGAGCTTAGTTATGGCAAGTTATTTGTTTTTGATTAATGGCGTTTTGTGGGCGTGGCAGTGGTCCGATTACGCCCATCTGCAATACCAACCGTCTCACGGTACCATGAAACATGTCTACCAAGTTTCATAAAGATATCTCAATTTTTACTCAAGTTAGAGCTTGCACGGACGGACGGACAGACGGACGGACGGACAGACAGTCACCCGGATTTCAACTAGTCTCTTCATCCTGATCATTTATATATATATAACCCTATATCTAACTCGATTAGTTTTAGGTGATACAAACAACCGTTAGGTGAACAAAACTATTATACTCTGTAGCAACAGGTTGCGAGAGTATAAAAATTCTTGCGTAAGAATTCAATTAAATTACAATTATATTTGGTATATTATTAACTTATATTATAAGTCATAGACTCATTTAGTTTTATTACTATATTTTGCTTCGTGTTTGCGATATTTGTCTAAAACTAACCTACATAACCTAATAAAATGAAATACAAATGCAAAAGTAATGTGTTGACAGATTTGACACATTTTCGCTATTTTCAATGTCGGGGACTATGAGTAATATTGACCCGATTTGATCCATTTCTGGCACAAGACATATTATTACCAGCAAAAGATCTTGTCATTAAGATAACTTACAAATTCAATATAGTCTCCTAAAAAAGTACGTATATGTAGTATATGGAAGCTTGGGTAATTCGTGGAGCGATTTCACACATTTTCAGAATTAAACTATAATATATCCCATATTATAAGTTCACTTAATTTTCTTTACATATCTTACATATTGACCGATATATACGGTATAATACCTTCCGGAAGTTTGAAACTCTTATAGTAGGTATGTGGGTACGAATAATATTGACCCGATTTTATCCATTTTTGGCATCAAGATACACCTAATTCGGGATTTTTACACGGTTTTGATTCAATATGGTTTGAAATTTTTTTTTTTAATTTTTACACGGTTATATTTCATGTAGCATGATTCAAAATTGTTTGACCATAAATTTCATTTGTCAGATTTATTATTTGCGATATATGTTCATATTACAAATTTTGAGGATCTCTTTTTTTGTGTATACAAGTAAGTTTACTGGTCAGAGCAATTGTAATAGTTGCATTCCCTTTTTCTGCATATAAGCAAATTTCAAATGACTTAATATTTTTCATCATCATCTATCAATGCAATCAGAAGTGTTTAGTAAAGTAATTTTGTATAGGCAAATTTTCTTAGAGTATATATCTTTCTTTTTTTAGTAACAATGCTTGTGTAAATACGTATTATATATTTATTAAATAAATATTTAATTAAAAAAATATTTAATAAAATAAACATTAATACGTGTTCTTAAAAACTTGTTATTTTTAACCATTTTAATAGGTTTTAAACTAAGGTACCTATTTTTACATACCAACAACTTTTTTTTACACGTTTCTTTCTGAAGAGAGAAAAAGAGGCTCTCTGAATTTCACTAAGATGACTCACATATTGACTGATATACATACGTATATGGTATAACGTCCACAGAAAGTTTAAAAATCCTAACATTAGGGATATGGGGGCTATGGGAGGCATTGGATTGAGTTTATCCCTTTTTTCTTTTCCGATAAGATTTGCTCTCAGCAAGTTTGGTTCAGTCCTTTTGTGATTCATTGCATCAAACTATTGTTTTGAATCTTAACATTTAAGCTTAGTTATAATATAATACTTTATAATTTTTCAACTATAGTAATTTTGAAGGCGAGCCCGTGGGGTGATTCCACACCAGATTTCGTAGTCTACTTATAAATCAATGTAATTATTGATTTGGGTTAGTTATCCATAGATATAATATCAATGGAAATTCTGATGACTTTGTCGTGTGATCGAATGTAACATTAGCGCGAATAGTACAAAGACGGTACGAGTATTGACAAAATAGAACAGGAACTAAAGCGCAAATTTACTACGAAGCTGCGATTATCGGCAGCTCGAACTTTATGAAAGAAAAAAATCACGCAACAAAAAAGTGATCGTTATCATTACCTTAGACTAGGCAATTTACTCTAATATAAAGAAAGATTCTTGGATAAAGCAATGTTTTCTAATGGAAAACACCGTTGATGCATTATTATAACAAATATAAAATTAAAAGGTTCAGTTTAGGTTTACAGAATTTCGTCGTAAGCGTACCAGCACAAATGATAGGTAGTAACTTAACAAATCATTGCGAATATTAAATTAAATTAAATCAATTTAAGTAAGTTAGTTAAGATCATTGGCGTCTCAAAAAAATGCGTGGGTCATATTATTAAAGATTTTCTTCAAATAAAAATTATATACGTCTTTGACTTTCAAAAGACAATATGACACTGAATAAATGAAATAGAACGAGTTTCTGCACCGATTTGTGACAATAGATGAAACATGGATACTTCATTGGATATTTATATAAAAAAATAGGTGTATTATTTTAATATACTCACAAAAAGTTTTGTAAACTTTGATATGATCAGCTTCCGTTTTAACTTTCAGCCTTGCATAGTTTTCTAGTAATCTTGTTTTACTTCGCACACATCTTCTCATATCAGCCAATCCAGACTCTCCAATTTGCTCGTATAAATTTAAATTAGAGTCCCAATAAAAAGGGAGCTCACACTTTTCAAGGCTATTTTTAAGATCTATAAACAGCTTCAAAAAATACATAAGAGATTATAGTTGAGCTTAATTAAATGTCTTATGATAATAAAATAATAATATTAATTCGATGATATTCATTCGTCGTCGATATACATATATCCCATAAAAATCAACTGAAGGACCTCCGCATATATGGCTTAAGGGAAGATATGAACAAAAGACCTCTATTTTTAGCACCAAACTACCATATAATAACTAGGAACTAATGACCAATGTGCATGTACATATACTTACATCAAAAAACTACAAACCAGAGATGGAACATTACTACATTCGTCATATAGCGGACCGATATAAATATTGGGTTGGTAGTAATTGCAGATTTCACTCATAGATTGCTTCAGTTGAATTTTTTGATTTGTTAGCGTAGTCCAAATGTAAAACACATTTTGTTAATTGATAGTTTGCAATTCAGCTGTCAATCAGTAAAAAAAAAGTTTTTTGATCGGTTGCGTAGTTTTCGTTTGGTGTTTGTTGAAAAATGGAAGATCAAAAGAACATTTTTATTTTGTGCTGTTTATGGCGACGAATCTATAAAAGAACGGTAGTGTCAAAATTGGTTTGCCAAATTTCGTTCTGGTGATTTTTCACTCAAAGATGAAAAACGCTCTGGTCGTCCAGTTGAAGTTGATGACGACCTAATCAAAGCAATAATCGATTCGGATCGACAGTACAACACGTGAGATTGCAGAGAAGCTTCAGGTATCACATACATGCATTGAAAATCACTTAAAACAACTTACTTACTTAGTTACCAACCTAATATATACATATATACATATATATATAATAAACATAACATACTGTTTTGGCTGGGCTGCCTTGGCGTAATCTTTTAGGCATTTTCAATCGTGACCAGTTAATTTCTAATTGAGTTCACGACTTTTTGTATAAATTAAGAAAATACTGAATATGATTGTATAAATTTCAATATTTCGTCTAATGACAAATATTGAAGTCATACACAAAATAATTTGTTATAAAGTTTTGCAGATTCCCCCAACTATGTATTTCCTTTAATGTATACAAATTGTGGTAGTATATAATGTATTTTTTTCGAGTTTTAAATGCGATAAATTAACAACGTAATCTGTTATGTGGTCATAAGTTCTTCAAGTTTATGGAAGTTTAGTAAAAAATTTAATTGCTTTAATTAATTTTAATCATAAGAATATGCTAATTTTAAAATATTTGTGTATAATACCCTTTCACAAGTGTATTTCTTATAGCATTAAAGGGTATAAAAAATCTTTATTTTGATTTAGATCGGTCAATCTGTATGACAGCCATATGCTATCACACAACATTACCCGGACGCACAACACTGACATGCCGTATTCATCATATCACAACTCACATTCCACATCATTACACCACGCACCAACACACACACTCAACACAACATCCACGATGCCACACTTGCGGATTCCATAACTGTTCAACACCCAACAAAAACATTAACAAAAGGATGGACGGCAATCGGCCCGGCATCTTTTTCGATACAGCGATCGTACAGAGACAACGTCTGGAATTGCGCCCTGTTTTTCCTCGGTCGTCTGCATTTACTTACTTTACAACATCTTTTTGAATTACAACTAATTATACTTACTTTTGTAACTCTCGGTGAACAACTTTGAAAAAGAACAAGTAAGGAAGGCCTAAGTTCGGATGTAACTGAACATTTTATACTCTCGCAAACTCAAATGGTGCACTCGTTTGAGATTTCTTTGTGGATTGACTGATATTTTCGGTAGAAGGTCAACTATAGGCACTGGGGTCCACATATTTAGTACTTAGGGGCTTGAACAGTTTCGGTTCGGTTAAGACAATTTTTGGTCACAAGGTGGCATACTTTAAACGTATTATTCACGCAAAGTTATATATATAATCATTGTTGCTTGATATGCATAGTGGGAAGTGAAAGAATTAGATGGAATTGAAAATGGTGTTATATGGGAAATAGGCGTGGTTGTAGTTCGATTTCGCCCATTTTCGCACTATAATATAGAAATATGAAAATAACGTTATGCACCGAATTTTGTTGAAATTGGTTAAGCAGATCTGAAGATATGGATTTTCACCTAAAAGTGGGCTGTGCCACGCCCACTGTCTAATTTTGAACGCGGTTCCTATAAAGTCATCTCATACCATCCCAGAGATAAAATTGAATGTCTCTGGCGTGTTTAGTGCTTGATTTATCGCGCTTTTAGTAGTTTTTAACAGTACCGTTATATGGGGAGTGGGCGGAGTTGCAAAGCGATTTCTCCTATTTCCACACCGTCAATATAAGTGCTAAAAACATTTGCTTCCATTGAATTTTGTTATTATAGCATTAGCGGTTTAGGAGATATGCACACTAAACCTATTAGAGGCGGGACCACGCCCACTTTAAAAAAAAAAATTTACTGCAGATGCCCCTCCCTAATGTGATCCTGTGTACCAAATAACAGTCTTGTATTTTATTGCGGAGCTTAGTTATGGCAATTTATTTGTTTTTGATCAATGGCGTTTTGTGGGCGTGGCAGTGGTCCGATTACGCCCATCTGCAATACCAACCGTCTCACGGTACCAAGAAACATGTCTACCAAGTTTCATAAAGATATCTCAATTTTTACTCAAGTTAGAGCTTGCACGGACGGACGGACGGACAGACAGTCACCCGGATTTCAACTCGTCTCTTCATCCTGATCATTTATATATATATAACCCTATATCTAACTCGATTAGTTTTATGTGATACAAACAACCGTTAGGTGAACAAAACTATTATACTCTGTAGCAACAGGTTGCGAGAGTATAAAAAGGAGGAAATACATTTGTTTCGGAAAGTGTTAAAACAGTGCATGTTTTCCCTTTTGCCTAATTTTAAACCTTTTCTTAGCCTGGTAAGTAAGTGAAAAAAGGTAAGGTGAAATCTACGTTAGAAAAGTAAACATGGTCCTTCGAGCCTAAACAAAAATCACTACATATTAAAAAAAAATTATGTATTTCCATAAATACAGTGACCAAACAGCTAAAGTGCAGTGAAAGCAAAACAAACGAGTAAGGAAGGGCTAAGTTCGGATGTAACCGAACATTTTATACTCTCGCAAAGTCAAATAGTATACTCGTTTGAGATTTCTTTGTGGATTGACTGATATTTTCGGTAGAAGGTCAACTATAGGCACTGGGGTCCACATATTTAGTACTTAGGGGCTTAAACAGTTTTAATTCGATTTAGACAATTTTTGGCCACAAGGTGGTATACTTTAATCGCATTATTCACGCAAAGTTTTATCCCAATACAGTCATTGTTGCCTGATTTGCATAGTGGAAAGTGAAAAAATCAGATGGAATTTAAAATGGTGTTATATGGGAAGTAGGCGTGGTTGTAGTCCGATTTCGCCCATTTTCGCACTATGACATAGAAACATGAAAACAACGTTATGCACCGAATTTGGTTGAAATCGGTTTAGCAGATCTCAAGATATGGGTTTTCACCTAAANTATGGGGAGTGGGCGGAGTTGCCACCCGATTTCAATTATTTTCACACCGTCAATAGAAGTGCTAAAACCATTTGCTTCCAGTGAATTTTGTTATTATAGCGTTAGCGGTTTAGGAGATATGCACATTAAACCTATTAGAGGCGGGACCACGCCCACTTTAAAAAAAAATTTAACTGCAGATGCCCCTCCCTAATGTGATCCGGTGTACCAAATAACAGTCTTGAATCTTATTGCGGAGCTTAGTTATGGCAATTTATTTGTTTTTGATTAATGGCGTTTTGTGGGCGTGGCAGTGGTCCGATTACGCCCATCTGCAATACCAACTGTCTCACGCTACCAAGTTTCATAAAGATATCTCAATTTTTACTCAAGTTAGAGCTTGCACGGACGGACGGACAGACGGACGGACGGACAGACAGTCACCCGGATTTCAACTCGTCTCTTCATCCTGATCATTTATATATATAACTCTATATCTAACTGGATTAGTTTCAGGTTATACAAACAACCGTTAGGTGAACAAAACTATTATACTCTGTAGCAACAGGTTGCGAGAGTATAGAAATAAGTAGCGCAAAATAAACCTATGTGCGAAAACAGTGCAATTACACAAGAGTATAAAAAATACATATACATATATACATAAAAAGAAAATGCAGTTAAAAAGCAAAAATAGTTATATATGTATCTAAGTATAGGTATGCGAGGAAGAGATCAGCAATCGCATTTTTTGTCTTTTATTCAATTTAATCTTCCTTAACTTTAATACACTTATAAAAATAGCCGTAATAGCTCTTCATTCGACGAAAAACGCTTTTCACGAAGGAAGGGTCTCAGGTTTCTAAAGAGGTAGTAGTTGCTGGATGCTCAAGCAATTCGTACTTTAATTCGTTGAATTTTGTCATTGTGCCTTTGTGAGCAGGATTTTGTGCAGATTTTGTTATGCTGCAAACCAGGTCTTTTCTCACGAATTTTTTCATCCAGCTGATCTAAAAGGCTGCAATAATATTCTAAGTTGATTATTTTACTTTTCAGCAGATAATTAAACAACAAAATTCCTTTCACATCCCAAAAAACTGATGCCATAACCTTCTTTGCTGATCGCTTTGGAGCTGAACAACCAGCTTCATTCCACTGTAAACGTTGTTGCTACGTTCAATTTAGGACCAAGGTGGTAGATCCATAGTTATAAAACGATGCAAGAATTTTTTTTTATTCTGCTTAAAACGCTCCAAATTATGCTGAGAAATTTGTTTTCGATTCAGCTTTTGTTGAATTGCTAACGTGTGCGGCAATAACTTACCAAACAGCTTTCCATGTAAAATATGAAGTACATGTTTGTCTGAGTTGCCTATGGCATTAGCAGTATTACGCTTTGTCAAACTTCGATCTACACTACCAATATTATGGAATGGCTCAATTATTTCTGGTGTGGTTGCGATTTTTGGTCGTCCATCACGTGGAACGTTTACTTTTAACATATACTATCCACCAGTGTTAAGATCTAAAACTGCTCAACTACAGAAACAAAAATTTCTACAGCTAAAATGTATCGTTACGATACAATAAATTGTTACATTTTTATTTATTAATAGAAAACAATAAAGTCTTTTTAATTTAAAAAGTGAGACAGATAAGTCAAATGTACTGGAATGAGAATTAAAATCATGACATATACGCCGGAATGGTTCGTTTAGTTCGAAATTTGATTTAGTATTTTAACAGTAAAGGTCTAAACAGCCCCGAAAAGCGAACTGGGATATTAAATTTAATTTCAGACAGGAGAAAAGAACTGGAAACTGTTTTATTCAAGATTTTCAATAAGAATATTATGCCAAGCATTTTCCTACGACTAGATAGATTTATAAGTTTTAAACGACTAGTGTATGGAGGTAGACTTACCCTTGAATCCCATCGGAAATGCGCTAAGGCGAAAAGTAAAAATTGTTTTAGAACAGACTCTAACTTGTCAGAATGGATTTGGTAGTTAGGGTTCCATACAACAGAGCCATGTTCCAATATAGGTCTAACTAAAGTTGTATAAAGTGTTTTAGTAATATACGGATCTCTAAATTCTTTAGACCAACGTTTAACAAAACTGAGGACAGCTTTTGCTTTCAAGACCATGGTGTCAATATGAAGACAAAAATTAAGCTTAGGGTCCATATTAACTCCCAAATCAACATAGTTAAAAACTTGCTCCAGAGTATGGTGTTTATTACATAAGAAGAGGGTGCACAGATTACGG